AACATTCAGTCATTTTGAGTTTTATTTCAGAAACACGTTCCATAAAACATGGGAAGGAGACATGTTTATCACTGTACAAGGCTCACTAAGACTCAATAAGCATTTGGGAATTGAGGACACTAATTGTTGAAGCTTTGTAGGTGGAAATCTTTTTTTAAGTTCTAAGTATTAATAAATCTGTCCCAAAGAGTAGAGCTGCTCCTCCTTCACATCAAGAGGAACCAGTTCAGGTGGTTCCAGCATCTGGTAAGGATGCCTCCTGGATGTCTTCCTAGAGAGGTGCTTGATGGATGGATGGATGGATGGATGGATGGATGGATGGATGGATGGATGGATGTGAAAGAAAATAGGAAAATTAGGCGTGTTTGTTTACCTTGGTATGTGTTCATAACCAGATAGAAAATACACTAATATTTGAATGTTTGAATGTGAAGAGTTATACAATACAACAGCACTGGGCTGGACCATGTTTTATTCTCTTTATTCTATCCAACCAAGATTCTCAAAGTGTTTAAACTACAATGTGTGCCCTCATTTACCCATCCACACAGCACAAAATGTAAAGAGATTTTAGTTATTTTTCCATGTTTCACAAATTTTTGGTAAATTGATACATGTGGTGTCTGATTGCATAAAACAAGTTGGAATAAATKCAAAATCTCCTATTGTAAAGTAAAAATGTATTTTTTATTGTCAGCAATAAAAAACACTTTTTATTTTGTGCATTCTAGATTTTTTTTCTTTAGGTGCAGTTTTTGATTTTCAAACCTTATACTTCACAACAGAACCAAACTGTTGTGGTTATTGCATAAATTCATTGAAAAACAAGTAATTTTGACCAGCAACATGTTTTTTTTTTACTTTACATAGATTTATATCAGTGCAGACCACAGCAAGACCAACAAGTATAAACAGATGTCTGTAGGTTTTGTTTGTTCAGTCCCACTGGTTTCTGTGACTTGGTCTTTTTGCTTCTTGGGATGACCAGACGTTAGATGGCAGCGTTTCATGTTTCCAGCTTTGTCCCACACCAGCACCTCTGCCTGAGCTGAGCAGCAGCAGGATGTGTACATGACCCAGAGTGGCTGGGTTGAATTGAGTGCCCACTCTGAAACATTCAAAGCGGGGTCTCCTGCCTTTAACCTGGCTCTGTAGTGGTGATGAAAGTGCTGATGGGGACCTCTGCTGCTTGTTTTGTTCTTGTGTTGCTGCTCGAGGCCCAGTTGGACTTCTTCTGGGCTGTCCTCTGTGGGGGGTAAGGTGTGAAATACAGTCAGAGAACCTTCGCCGCTCAGTATCTGGAGGGCAGCGAGGCCAGAGCGACCATTATCCGACACAGCCAGGGACACGCTCCAGTTAGAATCGGTGCAAACTGCAGTGCAGTCGTACTGGATCCGTGCAGCAGAGCAGGAGGGTGGAGACGTGTCAGCATCCTACAAAGAACAGAAAAAAACAGTCATACAGGGAACACCTTACAGACGGGAAAAAGATACATCTTTACACGTTGTTGCTCACCAGCGGGACCACAGTCAGGTACGCCACTGCGTAGTTTGATTCAGGAGAGTTGTGAACATGCACGGTGAGCGAAAGGGTAARAGTGGCTCCTGCTTGAGCTGAGGCTGGAGTGAGCAGGTACACCTGACTGKGGAAAGACCCCT